TTTTCAACATGTTTATTATCACTCTGAAAGCGTGTACATATAAGATCTTTCAGCAATGAAAGCTGATTTTCTATTTTGTCTATCCTGTCGGCATCAGTATTTACAGTGTTCCTCAAGGGCGAACGTGATCTTTCACGTGTATTTACATTGTATTGTGATCGAGACTTGGCAATGTTAGCCTTTTCAAGTTTGTTCTTGTGACTAACAAGTTTACGCTGATGGAAGCGCACTAGGGCGCTAACGTATTGTTCTTCGGCGTGACTTTTAATAGCGCTTATTTCCTGTCGAAAGGTTTCGTCAGGCGTGACGTTTGCCTTCGCCTTGTATTGAAGCGACTTAGGGCAAGTCTTTTGTTGTAAGTGTCTCTCCAGTTTTAAAATGGAGGTTTCAGTTTTTTGCTTCTTGAACTGGATAGCGCTGATGGTGTCTTCATGTCTCCTCTTCCTTGGCTGCCGCGTGGATCGGCTATTCCTCGGAAGGTTTTCTTTTTGACGGCTTTTTTTTGAAGGCGTAGACCTTCGTTGCTGCGTTGTTTGGCTAATTCATCTTTATGCCTTGGCTCGAGTTGTGATGCTGGAGGGCTATCCTCTGGGTCCGATTCTAGGTTCGGATCAGTGTACGTTAATTCCATCTCCTCGTCCAGATTTGGACGGTAGTCTGGCGTTTTTGGTGGCCGCAATGGTGTTTCAAAAGCTGACATCTTTTTCAGGTAAAACTGAAAGTGAAGTATATCGTCTAGCAGGACCGGCGGTTTCGATTCTTAAAGAATCTCTTCAGCTGCTTTGTTAAGTCAGGCTGTGTTAATCAGGGACAGGCAGAGAAATTCTCAATTCCAATCCCGCCAAAAAGGGTGGAAAACCATCCTTTTATACTTGGGTTACCTGCGGTTAGGATCAACGGTGTTCCGTTTTCATTGGTTCTCTCTGGAAAGAGAGTAACCAATCATGTGTTGGTATTTTCGATCCGCGCTTTTTCAAAGCTCAGAGGTGTGTTTCTTTGTGAGGCTTTTTTTCGCATTATACGCCGCAAAGGCGTTTTAATGTCGCTTTTTTGTATTTTATCTATCTTCGTACTGTATGTAGAACCAACTTGTTGTTCTGGGTCTGTAATAAAAGTGCTATGTGCCGCAAATGATGCGGTTTTGTACTTGGAATATTGTACAATTGTACGGAGTGTGATGTCACGCAGGGGACGGGGCCTGCCTGGAAAATATCACAGATTGAA